TATTTAAATTGGAGGGTATATCGGTCATTTTATGTTAAAAATTAGGGAAAAGGACGTTCTGCACACAAAAAGTGAAAGGTAGGGACGTTCTGCGTCAAGAAATGAAACGTAGGGACGTTTTTCACAAAGACATGCAAAGGTAGGGACGTTTTGCGCCAATTACCCTTTTAATGGGGAATCGGATTTTGAAATAGTACTTTAAAATTTAAAAATTTATGGTACAAAGGACATTTGGCTGAATGAGGACAAGTGACAATGACCCGTTGAAATTCAATTTCTCCATTTCACCCTCACTTCATAGCAACAAATGACACATTTACCCTCCAACTTTCTTAGTGGTTATTTTTCAAAAAATAATTAGGGGTTAAATTTGGAATGTTTAAATTCATTCCTCTTTTCTTGACAGATAAAAAGAATATAGTCCCACAAAATTTGAAATGAAAATGAGTTTTTTTTTTCATTTTAATGGGTCTCAAATTCATTTCCCCTTTTTTTTAAAGTTTGGCATGCTACTTGACTCCACTCGACTCGACTCAAACTCGAACTCCCATTTATTAGTACAAAAACCCAAAATATCACCAAATGAACACATTTCTTTGTCATATAAGCATTTTAGATGTACAAAAGTAGATTTCTTGATTGAGTTTTGATATGGGTACACGAATTCAAATTCCATAAAGGATAGAAACAATAGGGGGGGGTAGAAAATCAATTTTTTAAGCAGGGCACATATTCAAATTTGGATAATGCTACTTCACCCCAAATGGATGACAAAGATGGGTTACTAAATGAGGTGTAGGGCTGAGATTTAAGGGAAATGAACGGCTGAGATTTAAATTTTTGTCTGGTCCATTTCTGACCCATTTCAAATAAGACCCATTTCTCTTTCTTCTTCCTTCAATGTTCTTGTCTGAAAAGGGAGGAAAACTGAGGGCGCCAAAAAAATTGGGAACTTCCCGCCGCCTTCTCCAGCTCCAACCGGCGACATCCCGGCGAATAGAGCTTCCAGGCATGAGTTGAAGGTTGAGCTGAATAAATTCAAACCGAGTTTTTCAACCGGGATTCGACGCCAGATTCGCCAAATTCAAACGGAGTTTTTTAGCTGGAATTCTTTACAAGGAATGGTGCCCCATTCACTAGGAAATCTGCAGTTTCTTGAAAAAATTGTCCATTTTGTCAAAAAGTAGGCTTTTCTTCTGAGTTAGCATTTTAAATGTGTTTAAGAGAATCCAAACTATTTCAAAAGTTTGTTTTTTTGTTTCTATTGTAGCTAAGAGAATCAGGAAAGCTTATCAGGCACTTCCTGACATTTTATGCATCTTTAGGATGCTTTTTGTTAGAATTTGATATCGTGGTGAATTTGCATAAGCTTGTTCAACTACAGGTCACCTTCTCTATAGGCTGATTATTGTTGCTTATTTTTTCGAGAGTGAAGTCAGACCAAATAAATCACAGAGGCTTACTCCTCACCAGCTGACAGAGAATGAAGGAAATTTTGAAGCTCGCCAAAATTCCCATGTATCTGCTTCCTATAATCTGCTGGCCTTTTGAAATGCAGGGGACTTTTTGGAATTAAGTTTTAACAGTTATGTTTAGTTGCCTAGAAATTTTGGATGTTCATATTATAATTCCAAAACATAGCTACCAAAGCATACTGAGAATTGGTTTGTTGAAATCGTTTAGGTGTATGTTATTAACATAGAAATGCAGGACTCTTCTGTGTTCTTGAATCAACCCAATTAACATACTTAGTCTAGCAACTATGAAACTGAATAAATAGAAACTGCAGCATCTATGTGAAATGTTCAAGGAACAAAGCCATGGAAACTTAATTATCTCGGTCACCATTCAATTCACAGAAATTAAATAACAAAATCAGCCCAGGCAGCAAATAACGTCACTTAGCTATGCCATCATAAAGAATCCACATTCTACAGGTGCTAATTCCACTAGCCCATAAAGAATCCAACTCGCGGATCCCCAATAAAAGTTCTTGCCCAATTGATTCATAGGGTCGGAGAATTCGGCATCGGAGTGCTATAAAACACTAACCATTAGTTGCCTAGAAACAATAGCTTTTAACACCACCAAAACCACACATTTATTTACATCAAAACTCCACAAGCCTCGTAATAGTCATTACATTGACAATGAATTTTTCCATCCAATTATACTGTGAACGAAATACCAAATACATATCCAGCTCACAACGAAACAAATTAAACTGAGACATGAAATTGGAAAAAAAAAAAAGAAGAGGAACCACTTGTTGGAAACAAGGATCTTATTCTTCACTGAAATCAAAACTCAAAAATCATATATTGCAACTCTGCTAGAATTAGGTGCTTAACATAAAGCAATGAACAAGCACTAATATTCTACGAGATGATGTCGATTGATTTTTTTGGTGGAATAAGACCGTCTCCGATACGGCGTTGGCTTTGAAAAAGGTTCGGAGCTGTGCCAAACCAGAATGCTGGAGTTGTACGGCTGCCGGAGGTGGGGATGACGCCAGAGGGGTTGGAGTTCACCGGCTGCCGGAGGGTTGTGATTTGGGAGGAAGGTTTCTTTCTGTTAATTTGGGGGAAAATAACGGGGAAATGGCTGCCGGATGTTCTTGCTTCGGGAAGTGTTCGGCTGCACTGGGCTACCTTCGATTTGGGTTATTTGGGAAATCGATTGAAATGTGGTAGGAAGAGGAAGACTGGAAGAGAGAGAACGAGAGCAAGGGAGTTCGGGAGAGAGAGAACGATGTTTCTGGGAAGATAATGGAAGAGAGAGAGAAAGTACGTGTTTTAACTTTTTAATTCAAATTTTACTTTCCCTTTTTTTTATTATTGATGCCATGTCACTTAGTAACCCAAGTTTGTCAACAAACTTGGGTGGTGTAGCGCGATCCTTCAAATTTCTAGTGAAAATTCCGTAGAAAAAATCTTGATTTGCCATTTGACTTCTTTTATANCACCCCTCTCACATGGAGGGGGGGCCCACGATTATTTTATTATGTGTGGGCCCCCCTCCATGTGAGGAGGGTGTAAAACATTGTGTAAAAAATTGTGTACACTTAGCTTTATATAAAAAGAATATAGTCCCACAAAATTTGAAATGAAAATGAGTTTTTTTTTTTCATTTTAATGGGTCTCAAATTCATTTCCCCTTTTTTTTAAAGTTTGTCATGCTACTTGACTCGACTCGACTCGACTCAAACTCGAACTCCCATTTATTAGTACAAAAACCCAAAATATCACCAAATGAACACATTTCTTTGTCCCATAAGCATTTTAGATGCACAAAAGTAGATTTCTTGATTGAGTTTTGCTATGGGTACAAGAATTCAAATTCCATAAAGGATAGAAACAATAGGGGCATAGAAAAATTAATTTTTTAAGCGAGAAATGCTATTCATCCTCACTGGGAATGCATTCCCAGTCTATGTAGCGTTAATGTAGTATTAAATGATAGGTGAAATTAAATAAGTCATTTAATTTCACCTATCATTTAACCAATTATTTACATCCACATAGATTGGGGATGCATCCCCATTGAAAATGAATAACATTTTTCTTTTTAAGCAGGGCGCATATTTAAATTTCTGGTGAAAATTTTGTAGAAAAAATCTCGATTTGCCATTTGACTTCTTTTATA